TTGTTGGGGCGAGCGTGGTGTGGGCCAATCATGTGAACCTTCTCTCGGGGCTCGTTACCCGCTGTGCAGATCAGCACACGCTCCAGCACTAATTGTGGGAGGATTACAGAGCAATCAATCATTGAGGGCAGCTCTGCTTCTGACTTGGGTGGACAAACATAGACTCAGTGTGAGTTCACTGATGGGAATGAAAGACGTAAAGTCTGGCAGATTTAGTTTGTGGGGGAATTATTGTAACGACTTCGGGGGAAGGGGGAGGGGCTTCAGACATTTGCTGAATCTGCACGGATCTTCAGTGATTGTCTTTAGTTGTGATCGCAAGTATCTCTAATCTGCAGTCACTTTCTAAAGCAGGGGTGTCAAACATAGGGGCTGTGGGCCAAAACCGGACCACTGGGGGGTTCAATCTGGTGAAAAAAACACTTTATGTCAAATTATATTTAATTAAATAGGAATATTTTCTAATATACTTGTACTTCTTTGCATGAAAACAAAAGAAAAAAAACATGAACGTAACGTTATTTATAGGTACTTATGTTATGATTGAACTGGTCCGACCCACCTGACATGTAATCAGGGTGTATGTGGCCCCCTGAACCAAAATGACTTTGACACCCCCGGTCTAAGGTAACGTCTAATCCAGACAAGGTCCCACCTCTCTGGTTGCTTAGACCAGGTGTGGGCAAACTTTTTGATTGGCCCACAATTGGTCCTAAAATTTGACGGGGGACATGTAAAAGTCATGCATAAAGGCTAAAATGCTTGTAGCCTTCTCTATGCCATCTATAGGGAACATGTGGGCATTGCAGGGAAAGGGCAGAAATATAATCATAATTACAGGATTTGGACAAGTTTGGCGGGCCAGATTACAAAGCTGAACAGGCCGCATCTGGCCCCCGGGCCTTAGTTTGCCCATGCCTGGCTTAGACTGTCAGTGAAGGACATGAAGAAGTGAAAATGAAGTTACTACAAAAATTAGATTTTTATTTTTTTAAGTGTCCAGGCCCCAAAATTCTGGCCCTCCAACAAATACAGTTGATGACTGTCTGGTCTATGAGATCGAGAAACTAGGTCTGACCCGGAAAAGTAAAAGCAAAGTCGTGCTTCATATAATTCTTGTATCCATGGAAAAACGAGATGCATTTACCAAGAGATTAAAGAAGGGAATAAAAACATGAAAAGTTAATAATAACTACAGATGCATGCTGCGAGTGGACAGAACAGGACAGAAAGTGGGACACGTCTGCAGGTGTTATCTCAGAATAAAAAAAAATAAAAAAAACCCTAAATCTTTCGATGCACCGCTGCTGCATGAGGCACTCAGTGGAGCCGAGCCTCGTAATGGGAAGGACGGCCTTACATAACTGCCCCACAAACTCTCAACAGCTGGCCGGGGCTGGGATTACAGCAACCAAAAAGTCCCCATAGGTTCAGATCCACTTTTCATGACTCCATTGGATTCGTGTATGTGGAACAGAAAGTCCCTGATCATGAGTGGTTCTGTTTCCTGTCAATGTGAGTCTCGCTCAGTCTAAGCATGAAAGCATATGTGTTGATTCTACTCCAAGAGCTCGACGAGACACGCACACTCACTCAGACCCAACCACTTATTCTTTTCAAACAGTCTGAAACAAATAACGAGGCAGCGTAACGCGTTCCAGGTTCTGGAGCCGGGCAGCGCGTTTGAATGTATCAGTGCGAGGTAAACTGTGTATCTTCAACGCACGGCTGCAAGATGCAGAAAGGAGGATGTTTGTGAGCCTGGAGGAAGAGAAACGATCCCTTCATACCTGCGACATTGATCGTTTCCTCTGGAGACACAGATTCAATGACAAACACGTGAGACAATGACATGGTTGTTTGGGCTCCAGGATGACACACACAACACTTCCCTGGTCTAACACGGAGGTTTTTGGAGTTGGTTGTAGGGTTAAGCCCATGAAATGCTCGGTTAGATTAGAAACAGATCAAGGTTTGGGGTTTCATTACGCCTTGGTTAGGGTTAAGGAAACGTCTGGGTTTGGTTGTGGGTTTAGGCACATAACGCGGTTTGGAATCCAATTACTGCTCTGGTCCTACTTGGTTGAAGGCAACAGAAATGACTGACGTCGGTTTAAAATGACTTTACCTTGGTGGTCAGAGGAGTATCGACCACTAAGACTGGTGTCATCATCTATGGCCATGAAGAGAGGTCAGATTCCATCGGTTTTACCAGTGGAAAATGCATGACAGAAATGACGGAAGACAAAATTCAGCCTGACAAAAAACAAAAAAACCAACTCCCAAACATCTGTAGCAGATTTGATATAATTTGATCAGTCCAATTTAACCCATAACTTTTCACAACATCTCAGACAAAACCACCAAGTGTTGACCTCACTGTGACTCAGGAAGAATCAATATCCTCACCAATTATTTTGCATTGATTCCCTCATTACCATGAACATGTGCGTAGAGTCAAATTAACTGGTTCAGACTGGTCTTTACGGGACCAATTAGATTAGATTAGTTTGTGGCACTGAGCATGGATGTCCAAACTTTTATTTTAAAAGGGGAGTGGAGGAGAAGGCATTAAAATATAAAAGAATCTTGGCACAATTCTTGGGAGCCATTCAAATTTTTCATTTGACACTACAGTTAAGGAAAGTTTTTTAGCCAAATAATTTTGATTTTCTTCTGCCTTTAAAGAATTGGAATTTCCTTTTGCCCCTCGCTCTCTTTTGTAGAGTACACTACCACACAGTCATACAGTGTTAGCATATCATGAGTTTTTTAGATTTACCGTAGCTGCCAATTAGAAGTGAAGAAGGAAGACGTCTTCTAGAAACAGTTGCCTGTTCCTAAATGCTCAGGATAAAACGGATCTGGGAAACTGAGAACCTGCTCAGACATGTCCTAACATGTCCCATGTCCTATGTCTGAGCAGGTTTCCAACGATAACAAAGTTGCTAGCAGACTATATCTCCACTATATAGTCTCCGTATGTGTGTGTGATAAGTATCTTATATATAGGTCAAGGTTTGATAAAGAATCAACCTTATGCATGCCATCTGTCACAAAAGCCTAAAGAGGAAATGTATTTATTTTTTGTTATTTCTGTTTGGGAACTTTGTCAACTTATTATTTTGACCAATGAACAGTCTGCTCAGGCCATTAATGAGTCACTGGGTAAATAAGCAGCTTCCACCTCACGTGATCAGTTATCAATAATCCTGTTTGTTTACTCTTGGAATCAAACGCCACTCACTCACTTTGTTGATAACGTCCGTTCGGCCGGGGACGTTTGGGACGTTTCAGTCAGGGTGCGTGATTGATATTGAAACCTGTGAGTCACTCCAATATTATCTGAGGCGTCTTTGTTCTGCAGACCGAAGGCTATTGGATTTGCAGTCCAAACAGTGGCAAAGCAAGGCCACTGGAAAACAGGGCAGATGCACGCACACACACACACACACACACACACACAGACACACACACACACACAGAGACTGAATCCTTATCTGCCCCACATGACCGATCAAAGCACAGGCTGCTGACAATCACAGAGGACGGGGGGAACACCAAGAAAATAAACTGATAAACAGAGAGAGCAGGTGATAACGCCGAGAGAGAGAGAGAGAGAGAGAGAGAGAGTGGATAAAGAGATGCGAGATAAAAAAGTGAGAGGACAAGGAAGTCAGGAAAAAGCATTTGTCCCAGAGTAAATGAGGTCACTACACCCATAAGCCATTGCTGCACAGTGAACGCTGTATATCTCCCAAGGCCAATCAGATAGAGCCAGCCAAGTGGGCCGCAGCTGTGGGCCAATCGCTGTCTCTGTTAGTGACATCAGATGTACAGTTGGAACCAGTCCAGGAAATTTGATACACGAAAAAGGAAGAAAAAAAAAACTTTTGAAAACGCAACCTTATTCAGTTAGAGCCCACGGCCTTTAACTTCTCTGCTTAAATTTCAACGGTAATATTGCTTTTTGGACTCGGAAAACTTTCCGTTGATGAACTGAGTACAACTTCGCACTACGCAGCACAACTGGAACAAACGGAGAGAAAAAAAAGTAGAAAAAAACACTCAGTAGTAGCTCACTTTTTCAAGAATTAGTGTCTGGTAAACGCCGAAGAACTGAGCGAAAAATATCTTTAGCTCAGCCCCACCGTCACCTTCTGACATCGGTGACTCCGGCTAATTATTAACAGCACTTGTCAGGGTGTAAGAGTGTCTATTGTTTGGCTGGGCCACAGATAAGGAGCTGATATGGAGCCACCTCCGTCATCTGTTCCTATCTGGGCAAAACAAAAAAGAAGGTGAACAACCTTTTCAGCTGTGTGCTCACCCATAAACAGAGTGAAGTTACTCAACGCTCCTCCATGTTTTGGCTCTTTAAACAAACTAGATTTGATGTGAAAGCAACATGTGACAAGTGCACACATGTACAAAGGTGTATGTGTGTTTGTGTATGAGGCAACAACTGGCTCGACTCTTCTTTGAGTTGGTGCAACACTTGCTAGTAGGACATATCATGGAGGTTGAAAACATTATTCTTTCGGATATATATACAGTGGTCCCTCGTTTATTGCGGTAGCTAGGTTCCAAGGCCTGCCGCAGGAACTGAATTTCCCCGAAGTAGTGACGCCATATTTATGCGCAGTAAAACGATGATGGTGACTTTTACTGCGCAGCCGGTGATTGATTTTACGTCACGACGTCGTCGATTTTGTTTCAAAATTGGACCGACCGAACCCACGTCCCACTCCTGTGACATCTCTTGCAGATCCAAATCCGGGATACGGTATATTTTTATATGATATGAAAGATGAACTGCGAAAAAGCGAGGGACTACTGTTTATGTATATATATATCTTTGTAGTTTTACACGCTATTAGGACGAAGTGAGGTGTGGCTGAGGAGTACATGAGGGTGGTGCAGATGGTTCATAAAGTTTGGGACAGTAGTGGAGTGTGGGGTCAGAATGACAGATGGGTGTTTGGTGGGGTTTACAGTACCTCAGGTCTCTGTGTTTGAGCCCCTCCTTGACGGCCCGGGTGACGGACAGGAAGACAGTTGAATTCCAGCCCGACTCCTCTTCACCACTGACTTTGATCCCTGTGTGGAAAGTACATAACCGGTTAAAGTACCGCCCCCGCGTGAGAGGGTGAAAGTATTGTTTTTGTTAACAGAGTCTGTCGGCTCTTTTTCTGCGTAAGCAAAAGCAGTCTTATAATTAAACTGTCTCAGTGGGAGTCTGGTTGTTCTTCTGACTGTGTCGTCAGTCCTCGGCAGTAGAACTCCGACTCTGTCAGTGGAAAAAATTAAGGATTTTGTTTGTTTGTACTTTGATTGGGGGGGCAAATATCTGCTGGGATTTTTACCGAAACAGAGTTTCAAAGTCCCCAGGTCTGTAACCTCGGTCAATACTAGTAAATACATCGTTTTTACAAATATTTTTGTTCCCGTCAATCATTTACACCCAAATTGGGAGAGAGGTTCTTCTAGAAGAAACCCCAGGTTGTCATTAGTCATGTGCAGCTCAATGCTGACCAGCGCTTTGATTTGGTCTTGATTATTGCTGTACGTACAGTTGCTTGCCGTGTGTGTTTAGATTTCAGCCCCAAGTCCAAATATTTATACGGAGTACAGGAAGGCCTTTGACTGCGGCTGCTCCGTCTTGTGTTTGTATTTCTATAAAATGTATTTTTTTGTACTTTGTGATTAGCCTGTGGTGTGGCGTAAAGAGTTTGAACACAGATGGGACTCCAGGTCACATCACAACCACATGTTCAAAGTTGATCTCATACACAGTAATGGACGTGATGCAAATTTCAACAATTAAAATAATCATTAAAATAAAGCGCAACCCCGCGGTGGAAGAAAACTAGTGCCGTTGAGGCGGTTTACAGCTGTTTTTACAGTTACCTCAGAGTCACAGCCGATGCACCTTTCTTCTTCTTCAGAACACTTAAGACAACCCACATGTGCAAGTGCAACGATACCAGGATGTTGTATTTTCAAACTGTTTGGCCCGCAGGACAGACAGATGTTCAACAGACCACGGGACAGATGTTCTGAGAGGCGGCACTGGGCCTCTTGAAAGCAAAACACAACAGAGATGTACAAAGAAACCCTGCTGACCTCGGGACAGAGCGACTCAATTAGCTCCACAGAATGAGACCGCACCGTGGGGGTGTTTACGTAAGCGTATTAAAACATAATCCTGCAAGCTACGGCGTACTGTAGCATGCCAGACACTCTGCTGTGCAACACCAGCGTGAAGGAGAACCGGTCGGTAAAGGTCAGAGACAAAGACAGGGTAAGGGACCGTTGATCCTGACGTCACTTTAATACGTGAGGACAAGAAAGTACTTTTAGAAATATCCTTCCATCCAACCATCCATCCATCCATCCATCCATCCATCCACCCATCCATCCATCCATCCATCCATCTCTCTCTCTCTTTATCCATCCGTCCATCCATCATCCATCTATCTATATTCAATTATAGCCATTATAAATGATATAGATAACAATATTTTGGCTCTGAACTCTATCATCTTGTCTTTTTTCTCAAAGCTAACGTTAGCGCTAGTGTTTTAAACTTAATTGTTGTAATGATGGAAATAGTCTTTGTTGCACAATTTTCATTTAAAACAAACAAACAAACAAAAAAAACTTTACACCTAATAAGCAAAGCAGTTGTCACTCACATTCACATTATGCACATTTTCTAAAGGCTGGCCAGACGAACTTTAAACTCACTATTGCCACCTACAGGGCTGGGGGAGAGTGTGCATCTGCATCTGTGACCAAAGAAAGGTGTGGTTAAATACGTTGCAAGTCCATTCTTAACCACTTCAGGCTGTTATTTTTCGGACAGATGGAAACAATCATCCACACTCAATTCCTAAATATAGATATTGTCCACTTCATTCTCTGTAACAATTAAAAACCTGTTTTTTCCATTGTTATTAGCACTAATAAGAGAGTTTTTTAGAGGGCCGGAACGGATTAAATGTTTTTCTATTATATCTTATGGGAAAAAAATGATTCTCAATACGAACACCTCGAGTTACGAGCTCGGTCCTGGAACGGATTACGCTCGTATCTCGAGGTTCCGCTGTATTTGAAAAACTATATCGGGGTCTTCCAGGCAAAAACCCCTGCAGTTTTAACTGTGGTTCACCAGGGGGACATCACAGCCTGTAATCTGATTTCTCCCCAGAATCACAGGCTCTGACTCTGTTGCTGCTTTAATCTACTGTAAGTGTGTTATTTAATCAGGGCCTCAGACAAAATGCTTCGCAAGAGCCGGGGCAACGGTTAATCCTCAGGACAATGAACAAAGTAAAATAAAGTCTACTGATTGGATTTCTTCACACCACACAGACGTGACTGACGTACACGGTTCATATTTCTCAGTAATCCCTGCCCACTGGGCCCGCAGCCAATGCTGGTAATTATCGTGAGGGTGAGGGGCGGGAGTGGAGACGGGGTCAGGGGGGAGGGGGGGGGGTACAAACTCCTCCATCAACTTTAATACATCAGAACCGATTCTGGAGGTGATCTCACGCGTTGAGTCAGAGTTGAGCGGTTGCTTCTCGGAAGTTATGTAAGAAGGTTAGTTTGCACGACCCGAAAGTTCACTGACCGTTGGTGTTTTAGCAGAAACAGGCGGCGGCTGACGGGACCACCCGTTACACTGTGTTAGCTCACCTTCAATTAAATGGGAGAAAATATATATATATATATTTAACCGTTGCCTTTCACATCTGGAAGACTGAGGAAGTTGAAGTGTTACACATCTTTGATTTGACAGAGAAGTAGTTCAAAATGTTATACCCAACACAGAACAGTCTTTTAGCTCAGCTTTTCTTAGCAAATTGAGCGGAAAAGCAACTTAGCTGAGCTGTTTTTAGAATTTCTCTATACGCAAATGTAAAATGGCAGGAGAACAGAACATTCAGAGTGCAGTCTTGACAGATCGCAGACCCCAGATCAGTGAATTAGCTCAGAAAACTCAACCATTATTTTCATTGCATTTTTTTTTAAATCTCCAATATGTGCAAGAAAATTGTATTTTTTAACCACCCAGGTCAGTTGGTGTGGTACAAACAACCACGCCACATGACCTTTATGGCCAAATTGTAACCTGATACTGTGACCAATAGCACAAATGCTGATCTACTAACAAATGTGACTAAAAAAAACATGACAACAGCTTCATAAAATGTCACTCAACCTAAAAAAAACGTTCCCAAAAAACTCTTGAACCAACCAGAACCAGAAAGTACATTTAAGTGGTTATTTTAAAAGCAGCATAATACCTGGTGGTCGTCTGGACGAGAGGGTTCTGTCTGAGCTGAGACACACTCACTCCTGGATGGTCAATCAGTCACACACACACACACACACACAGACGTTCACAGTGAAACCAACAGAGGGCAGGTAGGGCCACAGTGGGGTTGTAATACAATCAGCATCAGCCTGTGGCCAAGTGGTTAAAGGATCAGGAGTAGAACTGGAAGACTGCCAGTTTGAGCCCTGGTTGTGGCCAAAAAAATAAATAAAAAAAAATTCCATGATGACCAAACCTCCCCCCAGTGAAGTCACACCCACTCATTTTGTGTGTGTTAATCTTGGGGTTAAACAGACAAGAACTTTCCCTTCAGGGACTATGAACTTCATACACATAAAACACCTTCCTTTGCCAATCACAAATATATATATATATATATTATTTTTTGTTAAATAAATGACAAAATAATTTTTAAAAAATTAGTGGAGAAAACTAAGCTGAGTGACAGCTTGCCCTCCCCCTTATTTGTTTCCCGTCAGGTGGGTTGTTATGATTGACAGCTCCAGTACTCCACCAGGGACAGTGTGTCTGCACTTGTAGGGTTTCTGTGTGTATTACACCCCAACCAGCCTCGGAGACAACAGCCAGGTTTCTTGCTCAAGTTCTGGTAGAAAGTGGAGCCAGAGCGACGATCGTAATTAAGCCACTTGGCACCGGTCTTAAATTAGTTCCAGTCCCTCTGAGACTGGACAGCACACTCATCAGCGGTCTGCCAGACGACACAGACTCCCTCTTAGCCGTCTACCCTGTGATTAGCGCTTCTAAACAAGTACAGGATACCTAGCTCACTGTCATTCTCTGCCCATTGTTGTGCACTGCGGTGCAGACGCACAACTATGAATAGGAGGAAAAGCCTATTCTGGGTCATTATAATCATCTGATCCCTGCATAGTTAGAGTTCTGGTGCCGAAACCTCCCAGTCTGGATCTCTTTCTCTTTTAACTCTTTCATTTTGTTTTTCTTTCAGCGCGGACTAAAAGCTGACTTTAAAATAGGAAAACTTTTAAAATTTTACTTGCTTTTACTTCAGAAAACTAAAATGGCTTTTTTATTTAACACTGAATTATCATGGTGGCTGTAAGAAAGAGATGTCAAACATACGGCTCGTGGGCTAAATTCGGCCCGCTAGGGTGTTTAATCCGGGCCGCTTGAATTTGTACAATGAATTTTGTACAAAATTGTTATTCAATAAATATGAATAAATAATGAATATCAAATATACTTGTAGTTCTTTGCATGAACACTAAGGGGGGTTATGATTGGTTGTGATTGTACTGGTCCACCCCATTTGACACTGGGATGTATGCGGCCCAGTAACCAAAATGAATTTGACACCCCTGCTCTAAGCAGTCAATCAGTAGTATCAATAAAGTGAGAAATAAGGTGGAAAAACAAAAAACAAAAAACTTTTTTTTCTTGTGACGCAAGCGACACGTTCGAATCGTCTGACCAATAAAAATGGAAAATATTTTCATTAAACAAAGACGTCTCCGTCCCTGACTCCAGGGAAAACATGTTCTTTTCATTGATAGGTGGTGGTAAACACGGGTACATCCAATCTTCTCCAGCATGTTTTGAAATTGTCTGACCTATTTCTTAACAATCGTCCCACAATGCCTGCTCGCATGCTGCTGTGTAACCTAAAACGACCCCGTTGAGTGGGCTCAGATTAAATATCACATCTGCCAAAACTCCTATTCATACTCTTCAAAAACCGTTGTCCTTTAAAGCCCAGTGACCTCAGCTCTACTTTTCAGATGCGACTGTCAAAACCACATCTACGTACGTGGAAAAAAGGAAATGTTAGACCACTGTAATTTTTCACATTTTATTTTTTCTTCCCTGCTCGTACAGCTCAGAAAAAAAAATCGATTTCATACCACGATGGGACCCCATGAAAATGAAACACTCATACCACTGAGTACCATTTAAAGTTGGACAGCAAGGTCGAAAAGTTGACTTTAAAAAAACATGGTAAATGATTACTATGTAACATACATAAGGACGACGTCATGTTTTCATCAATCTGCTGTTGATCGCTCATTGGCCCAGAGTGACACAGATAAATACACGGAGCTGAACGACCGGCTTCTGAAAAATGAGAAGCAAATCGGTCTCTTTGGTGGTGAGATAGACTCGAGAAAAAAAACAAAGACAGATGATAAGATCCTGGGATTATTTAAACCTTGTGATTTAGTGCGGAGCTGTGATTTCTCTGTTCACTGACAGTGATCAAACCCTCGTCCGGAGCGGCGGCTTCACCGTGGTCCAAAGGCCATTGAATGGCAAGACTTTGGCCGTGTTTTTTCCGAATCTCTCCACGTAAAAATATAGTCGATTTTTACAACCGTGGAACACATTATCTGCAGTGTGTGTGTGAAAGTTAACTCACCAGAGCGGACGTGCGTTAGCCAGGTTTTTTTTTTCTTTCCAAAGTTGGTGATTAGCTACGAGTGCGTGTGACAGCTGAAGCAACAATTTGAAAGCAGGAGAAATTCCTTCTGTGGCTCGTATAGTTTTAACAGAGGTCAAAGGTCAGACTAATGCGACAAATGGGCGCACTTCACAGCCTGGTGTACATTTGATTGAAATAAAAAAAAAGGCACGGTGCTGACAATGATTTTCATTGAAAGACTGTCGGAGCTCTGGCTGGAATTGCAAAGTGTTTGGTGTTGAATTACAGTAGAACACATATAAAAATAGTACAATTTCTTGAAGGAAAATCGAGAAAAAGGAGGAATATACTCTTTAGGTCATAATGTCAGCGCCTGAACGCCTCCCTTCCAAGTCGGCTCACATTACCTTTGGACAAGTTCAGTCTGTATGATATGCAGTCCATGTGCCATAAAAGTTGATTAGCTCCAGAACTTTTGGTATAACGCTGGTTACAGTCAACACAGTTTTACTGTGACGATCTCAGTCGTCCAGGTCAGAGTGGGAACCTGGGCTGGATCACCTTCAGGGGCGTCAACCCCGCCTCTGATCTGCCGTCTAATGAGACCAGCACATCCGGAGGATCGTCCGAGTGAAGGCCGTTCAAGTCCATGGACACAAATTCATCGGCGGTTCCAGTTTGATTCTCAGTCACAGGACAGTCTCTCTCCTCTCCTCCTACTGGACACACACGTACTTCTTCCACCACGACTTGGAGAGCATCTTCATCTTGTCAGCCGTGCTGCGGACCTTCCGCTCCCGCCGCGCCCTCCTGTCAGAGTGCCGGAGGCCGACGGCGATGGCTGCGTCAAACACCTCCTTGAGGTTCTTTTGCGTCAGTGCCGAGCACTCGACGTACGTCACCGCGCCCATTTTCTCCGCCAGCGCTCTGGCGTCCTCCTCCAGCACGGGGCTCTCTCTTCGCCTCGCCAGCTCGATCAGCACTTTGACGTCCTGGCGCAGGTCACACTGGGTGCCCACCAGGAGGATGGGAGTCAGCGGGCAGCGCCGTCGGATCTCAGGGACCCATTTCTCCCAGACGTTTTGAAAGGACGCGGGGCTGACGACGCTGAAGCAGAGCAGCAGGGCGTCGGTCCGACTGTAGCAGAAGTGTCGCAGTTTGTCGAACTCGTCCTGATGGAGACAGAAACAGGAAGATCAGAGCGTGTACATTCACATGTGGGTTGAGCTACAGGTGCAACGTTGGAGTCCAGCCACAGGACGGGAAATGATTGGATAAATAATAATAACAAAGATGTCTGCCATAATATTACGCTTGTTGTTTTGTATTGTTTTGTTGACACATATGACTGTTTATGGTTGTGGTTATTCAATGTACCGGTAGAAAAACCTGTTAAATCCAGATTGTATCTTGTCTACAGCTTTGAAACACTTGACTGTGAAAAAAAAACATGGATGTTGTTTACAAGTCTACGTTTTGGAGTCACAAGTCAACTTTGGCTGCAGTACCACCATATACCAGCGGGTGTCGACTCAAATATTACTTACAATTCTTTTCATATTCTCATTGTTTTTAAACACGTTTGTTCGATCTCAATGGATCTATGAAAACAGCTTAGGATTGTACATATATTTTAGACAAATGTTGTCTTTTACGGGATAGGCTAGCTCCAGGATAGCATTAATTTTGAACAAACTCTCAGTCAAGCTAATGCTAACCATTAAGCTACACTGCTATTTTATTAATGTTCGTACTGCCGTGTGCGCATATAGCGTTTATTATGTTAAAGATTTGTCTCATTTCACGTGAAGGCCTCTAGTTAGCCTACGTCCGTTAGCTACCTGTTGTAATTTTTGATGATTCAGGCCTCAGACACAGACAGACCACACACACACATTCTTGTGACAATCACCTCACTGGTCTGCAGACCACAGAATCACCACATCACAAGTAAGGGAGCTGTGCCGAATAACCACTGCCATCATCTTAAATTCATCACGGACCGACCGAGACCCCTCCCATGAGGGTACACGGATTAAGGCTTTGCAAGAACGCCTCCTTTTCCGTACACATCTCCTAATCCCTGTACAATGCTCAGCGACGGCGCCTTCTGATTCCTAATCTGCAGAAACCACATCTTATTCAAACAAGTGAAACGAAACCTTGGGGGAAACGCAGGAGACAACCTTATCAACCTGTTGGTTTCCCACACAGACTCTGGCTGCGCTGTGTGATCTGATGACGTGGATCAGTCTGCAGAAAACACACACTCCCATCTGCTTTACTCAGCACGGAGACAGCTTTTGTTTATCTGCTGTGGCCACAGCTGGTAACAGCGCCGTCCAAACCACTATCTTTCTTTGTTTTCCCTTTTTTTTTGGCACACCTTGAGTCATTTCGAGCACGTCTTACGAAACTGCGTGAGTACAGTAAGTGTTCGAGGACATTTATCCGCCCTTGTTCGCCCCAGCTTGTCTACATGTGACCTCGTAGGTGCAGTTTTAGCACAGCGTGCAGCTTGCAACACGCTGTGAGGTTTTTTTTGTTTTGTTTTTTTTTAGGTGTGTTATGTTCAAATGCTTCGGTCTACTCGGCTGCCAAATGTCTTTTTCTCGGAGGAACTGGCAGTGACTTTGCAACATTTGTGAATGTCAAATATGCCGCTCCCGGGGCAGGTTTCTATCGAGATAGATGAAAAAACAAACACGTGCCCTCAAGGAATTATAACACAGTTTCACAAAGACTTCTTTTGAACATTGCCTAACAATATAATGAGTCAATAACTTTTCCCTGACAGGTTGTTGCACCACCTTGTCCTCATCAGTGGAAAGAAATGTAGAAGTATTTTAATTGTTTTTCTGTATCATCTCCTGCCTTGTCTCAACAAAAAAAAAGGTTGTTGTATGTAACGTCATTTAGATTTGGAGGAACATTCAGATAAAGCACTGTATATATAAATACTGTATATGTATGTATATATATATAAATATATATCCATCCATCAATTTTCCTCCGCTTATCCGTTACCGGGTCACGGGGGCAGCAGTCGCCAACCAAATCACCCTGCACCGTACCAGCCCCCCTGAACCTTCCTGAGGGTGGTGAGACCACTGGAAGGTACTAACCGCCCTAACCGGGATTCGATCTAGCCCAGGAGGTGAACCCTGGGGTTCCACACCAATGACAGAGACATTGACTCTGGGCCAAAGTGCCACTAAATATATATATATAAATATATAAATATATGTGTGTGTGTATAAAACCTGAAGCCAAATATTTTTGGACAAAAAGTATTTACGAGAGACATGTGGGAGACGGCGGCTGTGGTCTTATCTTGATTCTTTTGTGGCACAGAGACGCGCTCTGCTTCCACATGCTAATTTCAACACAATCACTATGCTAATGTAATGTGCTAACAGGGGTTTTCCCCGTGTTGCGTGTTTACATGCCAACAAATTACACATTGACATAAAGATGACGTAAAGCTAATGTATCAAGTAATGTGATTGTCATGTCATTATAATGTCCTTTGGCTAGCTTAGAACGCAGTTAGCGGTTTAGCGGTTAGGCCATTGTTTTCGACTCAGCTATTTCTATGCTAACTTTTTATTGTCTTGGTCTGTTAAAAGTTAAATTATTTCTATACTTATAAGTATTTTTAATAGATTTGTTCACTTATTTTGAGAGATTTTTTGCAAAGTATTAGATTCTCTGGCCTTCAAAATATCTTCTAGCTTAGCTAGCATAGGCTAACTGAAACAATAGCCTCCCTAGTTTTTTTTTCAGTTATGCCTCTAAATGTAGGTCTTTCATTTTACTTATTTTATTTTTTCTAGACTTTTCTATGGTCGAATTTAACACGTTTATTTCTTTGCTATGTTTTTTTTTTATTATTTTAACCTTTATTTATATTTATTCACCATTTGTAGTTGAATTGAGAAAATATTTCATGCTTGCTCAACAAAACAATCATCATCACCGCGAGATATGAACCTGAGTTCCCCTGCGACAGCCCTGAACTTCCTAAAAAGACATTTCCTTCGAGCCGGATTTCAACCAGCGACCTAAGGATTTCAGCTGCCCACCACTACAGTCCTCCGCTCTACCAACTGAGCTATCGAAGGGCGAGTATTCAGAACATATATAAATAAAACATCGGTAAGATGGATACACGATTAGATGATTAAACACGGAAAAACATTTCTAGAAATGAAGCAATCAAAATACAGTTTGTAGCATACTTTGTGTATTGAGTGTTTTGTGTGTGTGTGTTGTGTGTGTGTGTGTGTGTGAAACCCAACACTCCTGCAGTGTCACACAGCTGCAGTCTCACCGGGTTCCCATCCACCTGAACCACAGCTGTTGAAACAGAAAACAGATGCACAAAGAAAACATTACTTTAGGTCAGTGAATCAGCAGCCACCTGACACAAACACACACACACACACACACACACGAACAACCCACAACACCCCAGCACTTTAGTCACTGAAATAAACAAAAGGCCGCCAATTGAAAACACAAAGACCCCCTGCTCTGCTCTGCCCTGCTCTGCTCTGCTCTGCTCTGCTCTGCTCTGCTCCTCTGTGCCGCCCACAGACGCCCCGCTCCGTCTCGCCCACCCACTCTGCCAGTTACCGTTGAGCCCATAACACTCGAGTGACGCTCGGACCGCTCGCTGAGCGCCCGGCTCTCTGCTGTGTTTTGACAGAGGCCATTCCGACAGGGCTGACTAATAGATGGGTTTGAAAGCACAACAGCAGATTTGGTTTTCTCTGTAACTGTCCTCCAGACTCACTTCCTGATTGGAAAAGTGGATGAGTCACCTCGTAGCAGGTTTGATTAGAGGGACATTTATCCTTTTAATAAGACAACACAAAGCAGTGGGCACATGGAAACATTTACAACACGTCTGCAGTGGTCGACGGTCGGACACGTGATCAAAGGGCCGCTGATGGAATAAAAACAGACGTCGTCTTCGACAAAGGGGGAAAACAAAGGGGCAAGGGGGGGGGGAGAGAGAGAGACCTTTCCCTGACTAGTCATACTCTAATCCCTGACATACGATAGGCCTCCGGTTTTCCCCAAACCCAAAGCGCCTCTTATCAGTTTCTCTCACAGCTTCTCTCCTGTCTCTGCCACCTGTGGCATTGCGTAACTGTTGAGGAGTAAAGCTTTCAAGAGGAACCCTCTGATCCCTGGCACAGGGAGATGACATCACCATCAGGGGCCTCCAACAGCACAATCGCTCTCTGTCAGCCCGGGAACGAAAGACAATCTCTGCCTCAGAGTCGCAGCGACAGATGTGCCCATTCCAGTATAGAGGAGAGGGCTGACGGGTCAAGGCTGACAACAATAGGCAGAGTTGTGCAATCCAAAACCCCTGAACCAGAAAGAGTTTTCTATAGGAGGTCTGGGGGGGAGGCTGCATTTTAATGTCAGAGAAAAATTGCGAGTTGTTTTTTGTTTTAGTTTATAGATGGGTGTAGACCAGACATGGGCAAAATAAGGCCCGGGGGCTGGATGGCGGCCTGTTCGGCTTTTTAATCCGGCCTGCCAAAATGATGTAATTTATTTATATTATCATTATATTTCTTCCATTTCCTTTAATAGATACCCATGTTTCCCCAGTAGATGGCATAGAAAATGATAGAAGCATTTTAGCATTTATGCATGACTTTTATATGTCATTTATCCAAATTTTAGGACCCACTTTGGTCCGCGAGTCACCACGCCTGGTGTAGACTGTAACCTGCTTAGATTTTATCTGAATTTGCAGGAATCATAAATGTCTGTTAGCACACCCTTGTGTTATCGTACACCCTATAATGTCAATCCTGGCTGATACAGATGTAGATAAGAGTTGATCAACAGGTCAGAGGTTTTCAGTTACTTAGAAAAACATATATTCCTCAGATAGTTTTTTTTTTTTTTAAAGGTGATCAACACCTGGCTGGAACAAGTGAGAGTGTTTGGAAAAGTGAACCGTGCCAAATGGAAACGTAAACGCACCACGGGAGGACAGCTCGTGTGCATCAACACTGATAAGAGACAGCCAAGAAGAAACACAAACAAGTTTGTGTTGATAATAATGGAACCGTTAAGATAGGGGTGGTGTTGGACACACGTAACACTGAGGCAAAGTTCACCGGAGAGGACAGGCAGGTGGAAACAACGTCACCTACCTGTGAGAGTGAGAAGTAAAATCATGAAACCCACCAATCGTCCCAGGACTAACAGGACTCACCTGAAAAGTCATCAAACGCAGTCGGGACATATTTGGTCGGGTAACCGTTCGTCGTGTA